GTCGTTTTTTTCCGGCCTTCAAAATTTCCGGAAATTTTACATCTCTAGTGCCACATAGTGTCACTGACGAAGCAGTCATCAGGGTTTCATGACTAGTGGGCAAGTTTTTCTGAATGAAGCACCACAAGTTTTTGTCGAAGCTGTCTATTTCAGATGCAGGAGCCAGGTCACTGAACGCCGCAGCTGGTCCAAACAAGCCTTCCTTTTGCAAGTAAGACAGCAGGAGCTGGTGTTTCTGAGCAAGTGACTGTAACATTAATAAAGTTGCCAGATGCTCTAATGCAACGTTTGAAGTAGCTGTGCTTACTTTCGAATCGGAGAGACCATACTTTCACGAGTGGTCCAAACTGTTTTATGAGATAAGGATAATGGAATAAATAATGATGCTTTGGAAGAAGTGGAACAGCCAGAAACAACCTTTCCCCCTCACAGATGTAATCACTGATCAAGAGTGCCAGATATGACACTTGGTCGTCTGAAATGGCAGTTGCCATGACGAGTTCTACAATCTGTTGGAGAGTCAAAAGGAGACGCCACATTTCGTTAGTTGCATCCTGAACTTTGTCTCCCACCATTATTGGTAGAAGTAACAAAAGAGTGTAGGTTTGCAGTGCCTGGCCTCCAAGCTTTTTACCACTTATGTTCATTGGAGCTGGCTTGTTCCTTCGGTCACACGCGTTGTACTTAAATTTGAACTGTATTGTTGCATTAAGATGGTGGTAAGAGAACCATTTCAGTGTTTTCACGAAATAGTTTATCATCAGTGCAACGTCGTAGTCAACAACACCGTCAAAAAGATCATGCCCAAGACATGGCGGGAGCCCAGGAAGACAGACATGAAATGTTGAAAGCTTGTTGAATGGAGAGTCGTGTTTGACTCCCATAAAGCCCTGTTCTTGGCTGTCCTTAGCACGGTTGACTGCTTCAGTGTATGATGAAACAGTTCGAAGCTCTGCTGGCTTGTTGTTCCTAAAATATTACATGGTTGTAACACAGTACCGGCATATGTAAGAGGCCCTGCTGAAATTCTCCACAAAGCCGCCAATGCTATGGCTTCCAAGGTTGTCACCGCATATAAAAACAAGCTGCACAACGTAACGGTGACCGTTCACTGTGATGCCATCTTCAAGATTTTGGAGGTCACTGATGAGTCGCTCGAAGAGCTTCCCACAACCAAAGTGTTTAAAGTCTTTATCATGGCAAAGCAAAACAAGCTGTTGAGGGTCAACTACGGTTCTGAGGTAAGCTGGTAGGTTTCCAAGCGTGAAGTATACCGCTAACATTTTAAACTTTCCACGGGCTGATCCAAGGGGATTGGCGACTTCGAAAGCATCTTGGTATAAGATTACCGATACAGTACTGCCATCGGATGATATCCGGCTTTGAAAAACTTTGCCGTCTGTGAATTCCCGATACACACCATCGCTGCCTCCCTGCGCGTTGAAAGAGAGTTTGCACAGTACATCTGGGTTAGAAAGCAGCGAATGAAGTGTCACCTTTATGGGCACATAGCTGTAATGTCGCATTTCGTTGGAATAGTCTAATCCAAGAGAGATTTCGACTGGTTTATTGTGATAAAATTTGTTAGTGTAGTAAACATTTCTCATGTAGCTTGAGCGAAGAGCTCCATCACTTGAAAATGCAACAGACAAAGGACTCTTCCCAAAGGAGTGGTCAATTGCCTCAGTCATTTGGTCTCTTGACATCTTATCGGTTAGGTGAGCTTTCAAATCAGTCATAAGATGCTCCTGTGAAATGCCATGAAGTCTTTTCACGTCATCAACTATATCCTGGACGATTGAGGACGGGATCAAATATTTTGACTCAAGCTTCAAAGTAAAAAGGGCTATGCTTTCAAGGAAAGAGTCTTGATCTAAGTGAGTGGGATCCACATCTTCAATGACTGAAGGCACTTCACTCTCAACGTCTGGTTTTTCCCTAATGTTCTCCAGACCATTGTCATCCTTGCTACAGCATGACGTCACTATTTCATCCTGCTCTACTGGCTCTGTCACCACTGATTTTTTTTTCCATTCCCATGGTATTTGGAAAGATGGGTCTTGAGTGAACCCCACGTCTTAAGCTGGCTATCACACGCATCAACTGGACAAGTTACAACAGTTGGCGGGTTGCCGCTGAGATGTTTTTTTGAAGTGCTCGATAAAAGCTTTTCCAGGGCTCACCTCTTCAATGCAGGAACTTACACTGCATGTCCGGCAGGATTGGAAGTTAGTTGCATTACGAGGTGCAAGCGGAGAATGACACCTTGTGATGTGGCTTCGCAACGAGTTGTAATTTTTGAATGCAGCCTTACAGCCGACGACGCTGCATGGAACACCTCTTGATGACGTTTCATGATATAATGTGTGCTTGAAGAACGAGTCCAATGATGTAAACTTTTTCTGGCATCTTTTGCAGTGATGTCTCATCTATAACCAAAAAGGAGTGCTTGGTTTATTTCAAGTTGATTTAATATTGAACATGTTCGTTGGGACCCTGAGAAATGCAATATCCTAAGACGACATGAGAGCTGAACAATTTGGCTTTTTTTTCGGATTGAAGGTCTACTTTAAGTCCTAAGATCTGCAAAAAAAAAAATTTCTCTCCACGATTTTGTACTTAAACACATGATCTTTGCATTTTTATAAAGATACCTGAAACTTTAGCCAATATTCGAAGCAATTATGGCGAAGTCCTAATCCAAAGATATTAATCCTTGACCCCAATTTTTTTTATTCCTGCCACAACTGAAGTCAGTGAACATTAAATCAATTGTGCTTGTGGAGATAATGACACACAGCATAAACATCCACCTATCTAGAAATGAACACGGTAAGGATTATAAAGCACTTAACGTGAGCTTTCATCAAGTTTCAAAACTAACATTGTGTTTAAACTGAAGTAAAAAAACAGCCATCCTCAATGTTCTGTGTTAATCTGAAGGCAATATGTTTCTATTTACACCAAAGAGATAGAATACCTGCACCTGCCTGTCTACACCTGCAGCGTGCGTGTCGTCTTGTCGTCCAGTCTTAACATACAAAACTATGTTTCCGTGTTCTTTTAGGTTGCCCCTGAGCCATGAGGAGCTACAGTCTAGCATGCTAACATTGGCAGTGATATAAATGGCCGCAGTAATTGTCATTGAAACGTTCGGCTAGGTTTTCGTTTCTGTGCATCTGGCTTGAGAGGTCAGGTGAACAGAAATGGGCTGGAATGGTATAGCGCCTTGTCATTCATAGCTTGAGCAGTGCAATGAAAGCCAGGACGACGCAGCGCTATTTGATTTAAACTGCTGCCAAGGGCAAGGGAAAGGAACATGGAAAGGAGTAAGTAAACAACCCTGGCAAGGAAAGGGAAGTTCCTCCTCTCCTTGCCAGCTATCCATCTGCTTCCTCCACTCCCACCTTCCTTTCCCTAGCATTTCACGCTTGACTTACTGTTTTTTTTTTCTTGCTTCTTTTTATTTTTTGTTTGCGTTGCAGTCTACCGCGAAAATGTTCCACGCTAACGCCCCGCAATTGCACAGTAATGTGACACATTTTTTTACCACCTTTTGGGGCAGAAAATTGGTTTTCTAGATATGTGGGCCGGCTTGCATGAAGCAGAGTCTCGGGTGAGACTGCTCAAAGAAAGCGCTGTCAAGGCTATAGCGCTCGATCTTAAGCCGAGTCTCAGACGCTCGCGGGCCCGAGCCTTGGCAGCGCTTCCTTTGAGCAGTCTCAACCGAGACGCTGCCTCTCGCAAGCCGGCCCAGGCATCTAGTTTGTTCTCCTTTCTACCTCAAATACTACAATAAGACATATGACTTAACTCCAACTATAAAGCAACACATCTCTTTTTTTTCCACTGCTGGCAGCCACTTATTACGGTGCAGTTACCAAATCATTTCTTGCCCGATTTCATTTTCTTTTTTTTCTAAACACACGACGCGCTTCGTGCACCCTGCTGTGCTGAGACCGTTTCTTCTCTGAACAGAGCTGCGCCGCGGCAAAATGTTAAGGCTGAAACACATTTGCAAGAAAAGAAACCGAATATAGAACGGAAATCGGAGGGTGCAAAAATTGTTGCCCGCAAATTTGGAAGACAAGTTGCACGAGAAGACTGATCCCGCGCAAAAGGCAACGTCCTCCGCAGTAAAATTAACGCAAACAACACCAAACGTGCACTCTTGGGATATATATATATATATATATGACGCCGTGATTAGGACTTGACAGAATCATTGGATAAAAAGAGACTGGCTGTATCAGCTTTGGTTTTCGAAGCAACCGAGGCCTTCACGCACCGGTACAAAGACTGCTATTACAACAGATAAAGTAAACAGAAGCAACGTGCGGAAACCAGTGTACGTATGTCACCGGTCACGACATCCTTCTACAGCCACACGCTTGCCTCGTTCTTATTCACGAAGTTCCTGTTAGATTAATTCGTTCTTACATGCATGGAGTCAGCCACAATCGGCGCTCAATGTTTAGTTGAGATTGAGATGTGCACCGACACGAGCATCGGCCGACGTACAGTCGGGAGCAAAAGTTTGCGGGGCACGGGGGCGCCTGCCGAAAAGGCTGGCTGCGCCTTCTCACGGCACGTTGCTGCTCCAAGACTCACGCTATGCGCACGCGCTTCCTTCCTTGTTCGCGGTCATGCTTTTTTCGCTCGCTTCCGTTCGACACGCACGATATATAACTGGGACTGGCGCAAGGTGCCGCGAAATGTTATCTGTAGCATGCGCGAGTTTCGTCACCTACCACGGTGGCTGAGGCAGACGCGCGGCGTGATGGCTGTCATAGCGGCACCTTGCGCCGGTCCCCGGTTATCTCGTGCACGTCGGGCAGAAGCGAGCGAAAAAGTCATGGCTTCGAGCACGAAAGGAAGCACATTCTCGAAGCGTGAATCTTGAGAGCGGCCGCGCGCCGCAGAAGGCGCAACCAGTCATTTCGGCTGACGCTCCCGCGCCCCGCAAACTTTTACCGCCGACTGTACACGAGCAAACTCACCGCGATCTTGCTTTGCCCGAATGCCACAACACAGCGAACAGCCCACATAATTTTCAGTCTTCGCAGTGCTCCGTTCACCACATACACGTAACACGACAAAGATGGGCGAAAATCAGTCTTCGTACAAAGCTGATCAAAAACCGCGGAAACACTCAACCAGCCTCGGCGGCTGCCGCGGCTGCGCCATAGCGTAGAAAACCCGGAGAGGGACGGAACGGACGGAACTCCCGAAGTAACGTTGCGACATCGCTCCGTCCCCCTCCGGGTTTCCCCGCCGAAAGAAAAAAAAGAAAAAAAGGCAATAGGAGTTGCTGTCTGATTTTCGTTTGCGATTTCTTCATACAATTTGGCCGCTTTTCGCAAATGTGTTTCAGTCATGACTCATTACGTAGAGTCCGGCGCCGTCGCTACACAGTAGCGCACCAAAGAATGGAGAAAACTAAACTCAACGAACTCAAAAAAAAAAAAAAAAAGACCGCGGACTTAGAGGCGTACTGCAAAGCATTTGAGTACTGGCAGTATTAGACACGAAGGTCGAAATGATCAATTTAAAGTTTCCTAAATTCACACAAGTCTACCGTAACAATATGAGAGTGCACGGAAGCTAAATGTCGGCTCGGCACAAACGAACCAAAAAAAAAAGGAATTTTGGCATTTCGGTCAAAGGTATGTAGTATACCATTGTGAGCACTTGAAACCTCATTGCACTGTGTCGCTTTGCATGTTTCGAAACAAATCGCACCTGAATAGCACGTTATGTCGAACAAGCAGCTACCGAAAAAATCGGCGTGCATGGTCCTTGTACCGGACCAGGGACCTCTGCCTTTCCAGCGGAGCGCTAAACCAAGAGCGTTTCACGTAGCCGAATAATATTTAACTAAGAAGGGAGCAAGAAAAACGTAGAACACCAACACACTACGTCTCATGATAATGCTAGAGTAACACTCGAAAGCAACAAGGCAAAGACCCCGTTACCCTAAACGCTACGCACCTCTAGCGCGAGGCGCACACCGTCTGCACACGCTTGTGGCGAGCGATGCATAATAGTAAATCCAGACAACTGCGCGACTCATCTAAGAAAACAGTGGTGCGATAGGTATTCATCAAACATTTCAAGGAAGGGGATGTAATGCACTTACCGTGAAATCTCCAGGTTTGAGTGCGGCGAACCAAAACACGTCCGCAAAGTCGCCGAATTGCGCGGGATCTGCCTGGTCTCGCTCACTGCGCATGCGCCAGGGGTGCCTTCACGCGGAGAGCGTCCCACGGGAGCGCGGGAAAGAAGTTCACGTGATCTTCCGCCTCTCCGAATAAAAGGGCTGCATTGACTGCCGCAGCGCGCCGACTATGTCTGTTCGTTCGGGTGCGGTGGAGGGGTTTACGGGAAAACGGCAACGACGGCTCGCGAGCGGCTCTGGTCCCGTTGGCGCTCCCTGTAATTTTACGTTTTTTTTTAACAGTGTAGTGCAGCTCATTGAGGTTAAAGCTACCTAGAGTTACCGCGGAGTCGGTGGCGGTTTCGTTGAGTTGGATTTAGCAGACGGCAAGCTCGAAGGCTTTGCTACACGGATTTCGCGAACTTCCGGAAAGCCGCTGTCGAGATAGAACTTCTTTGTCATTCATTAAATTCTGGACTTCTCCGAAGACGGTCTCAATGACGGCAAGTTTTTTGTATTTACTCCACTACAAGAGCAAGCTTGCCAGCTCAGCCATAGGTGCTTCGGTACGTTTGATTGTTTTAATCGGCGTTCGAACGTTTGACAAATACCGAATCGATCGCCAAACACCCGAAATAAGGATCAAAGCATACTATATAATACTCGCCTCCGAGCACAGTGTACATGCTTCAATATTGTTACTATTTTACGTTTCTCCCATAGCCTTGCGTCTATTGGCTGGTGTCAAGCAATGGCCGCCGGTGGCGACACCGACGGGCTCCCGATTCGTAAACCAGGCTACTGCAATGAAGATCAGTGGACACGCCTTCCTGATGACTTGATGATCGAGATTGTCGAGGACTTGCTCCTTAAAGAAATTACAAATATGAAGAAGGTACCGTGGCGCATCTTTACGAATATTATATTTAAGCTACCTGCTTCATATGTCTGCTAATGACTTAAAACCTACAGGCCCTAAACTTGTGGAACTGCTTCCTGAACGGGAAGGCATCGACAATGAACACCTGCGTCCCCCGAAGGCCGAAGAAACGCGCCGGTGTTCACTGCAGGAGGAGCCGAGTCGGAAAAGCAGACTATCTCCCTGAAAGTTTTACTATGCGTCTTTCACCACGACCCGAGTCTGTAATATACATTTTCTACTGCTTTCACTCGCTTGCTTTGGAATTCAAGGTTTGTTTCCCAAAACCTTCGTGTTACCTTGCATTTCAACATGCCGTAACAATCTGGTTGACACCTATCATCGTACGGAGAGGTTTGGCCAAGCCGACGCCTCCCGCAACCTCTAGCTTCTCTCGTTGCGCCATCTGCTGGCAGCACATCAAAGTAGGCGAGCACCGTCGCCGCCGTCCTGTGACTAGCAAAGCTTAGCGGCCCTCAGCGGCTCGGCGGCGTCAGCGTCGTCTCACTTCTATGAAGAGTTTACTTGTGGCATTTTGTTCTTACCGGTACGGATCTGTAACTGCTAAGCATGACACTTGACATTTCTAGAGCCTAGCTCTAGATATGTCCCAGTGCTCGTCGCGAACTTACCCAATCACAAATTAAATATAGGAGACTCGGAAGTATTACTATCACTCTCTCATGGCTGCCAGAAGTGGCGTTAATAGCCTGCTATTAGCAGGCTATTTGCGTTTTCGAGCCTCCTATTTTAAGTGTCAACACTAGTGAATTGAAATGTTAACTTTTCTTTCGTCTATAATAATAAAAAAATAAGACAATTCAACCTGGCTTCCGAATGTACTGACAGACTGAAGAAAACAAAACAAAACACGAGTTCTTTTTCGTACACTTAATAATGTGATAACATACAAAGACTTCCTATCAGACGCAAACACAATAGAAACGGTAACGGCGGTGAAGTGAGGACAAATGTTTCTGACGAGAGGATACACTATACGCACAGAAAGGCCAATCAAGCAGCTTGTAAAAAAAAAAACAGTTATCAAGGCAAAAAAAAAATCTTTCACGTGAGTGTAAAAAAAGAATCGGCTCCAATAGTGACAAAATAACACGAACCTGTGCAAAGACTGTGGAGTCGCGGATGACAAGAACTAATAGAACACGAACACTTAAGAAAAGTTGAAACGAAATAAAGAAAAGGAATGGGGAAACCTAATTTCGGGTTTGGCACCGTTCACGTCGTCCTGATCGAAGGAGCAGACCTCATTCTCTCACCTCGCCTGAACACATTGAGGACCTTTAAATAAGAACCAAAAAAGGAACGCAACAAAAACACACACACAAAAAAAAAGGCCTCAAATTGCAATTTTGGCTTCCGGCTGTCGCTGGTTCATCGGATTCATCTGCCAAATAGAACTGATGCGGTTCCTGTCGCGAAACCTTCATGTCAATTAACGATTGCCCTTGTTCGGTTAGGACTCCTTTTACTTTGTTTAGGAACCGCTTCTACTCTCTTTCGTCTACTGGGTCTAGCATGACAGCTTGCTTAGTGGCCTCCATTTTCTAAGATAGCGGTCGAGCCCTCTTCTGTGTGTATGTTTTTCCGGGATGTTGCTGCTGGCGGAGCAACGAGGGGCATGTCCTACAAATATTGATGCTCTTGTTTTGTTTCCGTTGGCATAGAGTAATATACACAAGGTAAAGAGCGGACACTGCCATAGGCCCCAGCGGCCAGATAGACCAGTGACAGGTAGCGCTCCTAGCGGGCGGTATTAAGTATAATCTGATTCCGTTTCCGGTCAAATTAGTTTCGGTTTCGGTTTGGGCGTTTCTGCTCCGGTTCTCCGGTACCCTTCTCTATCTCTTTACTCCTCGCCTCGCTCAACTCTCAAGAGCTCCTTAACTCCCGAAGCCGCTGTTTTTTTTGTTTTTGTTTTTTGTTTTTCTTTAATACGGACGCACTTTTCCTTTATTTTTTTACGATCGAGTCCGTGCAAAATCTGTTAAACAATATTTCAGCTTACTTCACAAAGCAGAAGTATATACATTTCTTGTTCTTTTTCTATTGTAAAGCATTGAAGTTACACGATCGCCGCATTCACTCCTGACTGATGGAGCATTTTGGGGTCAACAACAGTAAGTGATTCGAACACATTTTGTTGGACCACAATCTTGTATACATGATTTACTTCAGAAGCTTTGTATGTTTTATACGAAAGAGATCGATACTCAAAAAAAAAAAATGAATATGAAGGACTTCGGCATATCGTAAACTTCGCAATAGATTCTTAGCGGAACCAAGTTAACAAAACCTTTCCACAAAGAACATGCTGTATGATACATTCACTTTCACAACGACTCGGGTACGGGAAGTAAGTGCAAAAATAAATAAGACATCCCTATTATTACCAGTCATAAGAGTATAATAAGAGTGCGAAGCACACGCCGGATAGCACAAATTCCCAATTTCCGGCAAATATAAAAAAACACAAATTTGCATAGCCTCAAACTCACTGCGGGCGAGCTATTACCAATCAATGAGAACTCTATTCGAAATCTGACAAGATTCAACGTCCCAAAACATTCCCCAAAATTGTTCAAAAAAGAAATATGGCTTCAGAAAAAAGCGGCTAAAAATCTATGGACAGTGGATACAAAAGTGGATAAATTTTCTTTCAAATATTTTGAGCCTCTATACACTATTTTCTGTCCAAATTTTGTAGAAAGTGGACAAATATTTTTGTTAGAAAGCCATGATACACATTCGCTGGAAAAAGGGGAAACAGATATTTGGAGAGCAAGCTGCACCGCCCACTTAATAAGCCCTTTTTTTTGGTTTGGCAACCGTCTGTGTTAATACACTATTAACAGTTAAACCTGTCTCGTTCTTACTAGCCACTGAAGAGTGCAACCGAAATTTATTTAAATTCTGGTTAAGAAATCAAACATGTCAACACAAGCGTATTCTGCAAAACTATTTTAAAAACCTTTTGTGGAACTC